AAAGGAAGTGGTGGGGGGGGGAGTGGAGGAGGGGGCGCTCACAGAAACACCAACTGTTTAAAAGTCGCAAGGGTTGAAAAACACTTACTTAAATGTTCAGAATTTTTTTTAAAAAGCAAAAGGCAAAAAAGTACAAACCTGTCAGGTAGCTTATAAAATATAACCAACACATCGCTGAATAAGTAAATGCGTTTTTTTAAAAGCCAAGATTTAAAAAACCATAGCGCAGACAAAATGCCAGGATGTCATTTTTCTCCCTAGATCCCTTCCCTTTTCAGTATGAACAAAAGGCAGTATTACTCCGGCATAACCAAGGTGCTACTGAAACCAGGGTTGCGTAGCAGTTTTCCATGCCTTGTTAACCTTGGTTTCCTTTAAAACCATGATCTGTAGCAACAAGAAGCTTCAAAGGAAACACAGCTGAAGAGCCATGGCCGTGGCCACAGAGCCCCAGATTAGCAAACTACTTCGTTACCTCAGGCTGCGGATATACAGTAGAGAGATTGGGCTTAAATGATGGCCATCTTCTCCATTAAAGAAAAGGAACAATCCCCAAACACTGAAAACTAGCAGGTCAACCAAGCCTCCTTCCTTACATGTTAGTTTGTTCAGTGCAGAGATTTTGAGGGAAGGGATGCAGAGCATCCCAAGGTGACAGCCTGATGCAGGACAATCAGAAACAGATTTATGGGTTGCCCTTTGAACATCAAGCTTTCTCTCTGAGAAATCACCTTGTGTAGCCTTGTCCCAAATCGCCCTTTTTGTGAATAACAGCCCTGCAAATAAGATCAAAGCAAAAAAACCCAAAAAAGGTGATGTTTAAGGGGAGGGGAGGGGAGGGGAGGGGAGGGGAGATCTAAGTCTCTGCAACAGATTTTTAACCATGTTCTTGATATCGGAAAACGTTACATCTACATGAAAGAGCCTGGGCTTTTTCTCCTCAAAGAGAAGAGAAAGTTGAGCAATACCTGATCCACCAAACTGCGCGCTACCAAGAGTCGTGGGTCTGTTTTTTCCATTAGTCACTGGCAAGGGAAACATCTAGGGAAAAAAAGCAAAGAATAACAAGATTAAGCACTGAAGAAAAGGGGCGTGGGAAGAAAGGGAAGAAATTCAGCAATTAAAAACATTCTGAGAGGTAACGCCACAGATTCCGCTATCTAGCCAAGATCCAAAATGAAACGACGTTGTCATATTTGAGCAGTGAGCTCTTCAAACTGCTGCTGGTTTTGCAATTGCTGGACAGGCAGTTAATCCTATGTGGGGCTAGATTATTGGCCCGCCTATCCCAGTTCTGTTTGCTATTTAAGAACCAGCAGGCCAACAATATGAAAACCCATCTGGAGAACAAGGCAACGATAAGATAAAGATCAAGAGCACCAATAATCCAGGCAATACATTACAGCATCAAAATCAGAATAAAGCAGCAAGGGAGCCCCGATGTTCTGACATTCTGAAAGGGTTCTTAGAACTCCTAGGAAATGAGGTCTTCACCTGGTCTCAAACATTTCATAAGAGAAGGGCCAGTTGAGCATCTCTCGCGATGGCATTTGACAGAAGAGGCCTGATCCCATAAGAGTTAAAGAAATAGATTCTTAAGTGAATGTAGGTGAACCCTTAGAAATGCATTTCTATTACCTTAAAAATGCATTTCTGAAAGGTCTCAGCTATGTTCACTTAGGAATCCTTGCAGAAAGTACAAGGTAGATTTTGTCCTCCCCAAAGGACAGGTAGAAGCGGATAGCACAGTTAGCACAGCTTTCCCCAACCTGCTATCAGGGGTGTTATCTAAATTAGGCAACAACCAGTTCCTGAGCAGGTAAGGGGCAGAATAACCTGAGCAGTGGGAAGAGGGAGGGAGCACCAACACACTCAGAAATAACTTCCAGCAGTGGCTGTGAATGTGTTCACCCCTCCTCCCGCAGCCTCGGGAGATGCCAGGCTGCCTTATATTGGTCCTTCTGTGTGGACATCTTTGCTGCCTCTTCACTCTTCTAAGTGGGCTGCCAGCACGTCCCGCCAAAGGCTGAACAGAGAAGCAACCCATCCTAGAAAATAACTGAATGGTTCACACAAACCAGACTTGCTAGACAACACTCCGGCCTGGTACCCTCCAGATGTGTTAGAATAAGACCCAGCACATCTGGAGGGCTCCAGACTGGGGAAGACTGACCAACCTGAAGGTCGCTCCAAGGTCTTGGTTGAATGAAGAATGCTCCTGATGGACATATGCAACTGCTCAGTCAGGAGTCAGGCCAATGGCCTATCTCTGACCAGCATTCTGGATCTATCCAACTGTAATTTCCACCCCTCTATTCCCAGCCAGTCTGGCCAATGATCAGGAATAATATGAGTTGCAGTTTGGAAACATCTGAAAGGACCACAGACTGGATTCACGCAACATGCTTAACTAGGCTAGAAGGGGAGTGAGTAGTCTCTGGCTCAACATGTGGAAACCAAGCCACCACATTAAGCCCATATATGGCTCTTTTCTTCCAACATAATATATTATGGGAACATAGAAATGGTGCTTTGTTTTGTTAAGCTGGGTTTAGGGGAGAGCATGTTGTGTGAACCCAACTATTCTGTCTTCTCTCTAAGACAGCTAGAGGCTAATATCCTGCTAGAGGGAAATGCCTTCTGCAATTCTAACACTTTTACATAGAGATGCCAGGAACTGAACTAAAGGTAATACTGAAGGCTGTATACTTTCCACCACTAATAATGCATTAGGGGTCAGCAACTAGCAACTGTGGGGGCTAACTCTGACTCAGTCAACTGCTAAAGACAAGCTTAGGGTAGTTGTCCAATTAACTGGTTCCACCAAAAAATGCTTAATCTATTAAAATTCTCCCCAAGGAACTGGGCTACAAGGTATTTCTCAAATTTTCTCATCAAATTACCACCAGCAAAATGGAAGTAGCAAAATGTAAGAGGCATTCCTGTCTTCCTCCAGCAAGGCATCACACCAGATGCCTCCTCTGATCCAAAAGTTTCTTTTCTGCTTCTCAAAAAATGGAATGCTGGGGAAGATGGACAGTTTATCATTTTTTGTGAGAATACTCTTTTTAGAGAGAGATGGCTGCAATATACTTGTGCTTCATGTATAAAACAAAGAAAAGATGTTTTTTGCTTTTTTTAAAAAAAAAAAGCCTATCAAGTGAAATGATCGACGAAGGTCTCTAACTCAGCTCTTGTTTAGAAACAGAAGATCAGGATTCTTCACTCAACACCCAGGCACAAATTAGAAGCAACAGGCACTAACAAATATTAATCCATTTTAATTCAAAAGTAGCAGTCTTTTTTTGGGGGGGGGATCATCTTGTTTATTTTTTTTTAACTTTCTTTGAATTTCAATATTTTAACAATAAACCTATGGATAAAAAAACAAGTACCCAACTTGGCCTTATTTGCATAGCCCCACCCCCCACAAGATCCTGGGGGGCTCTATTTCCTGCTCACCCTCAAAAGTGACAGACTGTTGCTGAAGAAAAGATAACAAATGACAAATCTTAAGAACAATAGCAACAGTAAAACAGCCAGCGCTTGCAGTGACCTGCAGAACATGACAAAATTAATCCCATCTGTCTGGGAAATGTTCTCTTTTGGGCCAAGAGGAAAAGAAAGGAAGGAAGGCAGATTAAACCTCAGACCAGTTCAAAAACATTTACATGATGCAAACAACCATAAAAGTGGAAAGATCCCCCACATTTATCACTCCAACAACTCATTTTACCCTTGCTCAACACACATTCACAGTATCACTCCAGCTGGAAACTTCCTTCCAAATAAAAATCTTCCTGCTTGTACCTCACAGGAAGGCCTGTGAAAATATCCGTCAACCCAGCACTGGGAAGGCTTCAAAAGAGACACGTTTATAAAATCACATATACAAAATTATATCTATGTCCCAAACTGATAACATATATTAAAAGCCGGTACCTTTTCAAGCGCCAACTATTATAATAGCAATCGTGTATCTGCTATTGCTTGCTTTCAAGTGAGATGGTTAACGCTACTTTCAAAATGCCAAAAGAGCTACTTAGATATATTTATCCAATTACTGGCTTCCCAGTTCTACTATGTTGCATGCTACCAATTTATGGCTTTTGATTCAGCTCCAATAAGACCTGTATTCATCACTGGGCCTTCATTCACAGAGATTGCTTTTCAAGCCATCTCTTCCCCAAGGAGGTCCTCCGCCAGTAAAAATGCCTGTTTATAAGATCCTGAAGCCTCTGTCAGATAATCCTGCCACTTGTAAAGAAGGATGGATCCTACTGTAAGATGTATACTCAATCTAGAGAAGGGATTGGCCAAGGCTCTGGAAAAACCTTGTGGGAATAGAGGTTAGCTTGTATAGAGATGGCCAATGTCTAACTGGAGTAGACCACTTTAGAGATACTCACAGAGATGAATGCTCCTTCAACTGAAAAAAAAAAAGATGCCTAGAAAGATACATCAACCCAAGATGGCCTATCTATCTAAACAAACCAGCAACAGCTCTTCCAGACAAGACTTTTTTTCCAGCCCTGGAGATGCGATCTTCTCTGTACAAACCATGAGATGCAATATTGAGATACTCACATGCAGAAAGTTAACTTATCGGGGGCTTTCTCTGTGGCATATTAGTTTTAGGATAGATAATCTCTGCTTGATCATGCTAAACTGTATTCAATCCAGGATAGCTATGGCGATGGACCATGGGATACTAATACCGCACTATAACAGAGGTGGTGGTACGTTACCAATTAGACCATTCTTTGCAAAGGATTTGGGGTCATTAGCAGGGAGTTACCAGAGTTTGTTCCTTACAATGACCTCTGAGAAGCTTACAAGGGAGCAAGAACACAACCACCCTGCCCTGTTGTTCTTTTCCAGCATCTGGCATTTCATACAGTTGCTCTAAGAGAACCATCCTCTCTAAAAGAGAAGTTGAGTTCATCCTCTCTTCCAATGGAAGAATGCTCTTTTCTGGAAATCGTCTGGATGGGCCTTGTGTTGGGACAGCTGTTGCCCAGGGGGCAGGACCATTTTACCAAGCGAGTTGCAACACAATGAAGCGGAGTGCAGTGAAGATGATGATGGGTGACAGAGTTTTGGGATGATCCAAGGGGCATGGATGGAAATGTCAGTTCAAGCCCTCTGGGAAACCCAGGTTGGGAAAATTTAGCACTATTCCAGTGAGAGAGTACAGGACCACCTCACCTTCTGCACACACTAGTTCAGCCCTCAGCTGCCCAGTGAGTGATGGTCCAACTTTCAGTTTTAATCCAGGTATGCATCTTGAAGATGGAGAGTCCCTAGATTGTTTCCAAGTCCTGAAGCTTGATTGGTCCTCACAAAAAAACTCTTATATTAGTGTGTGTGTGTGTGTATTGTATAGTGTATGTATGTATGTATATACCTTTGAAGCAGTCTTGACTCCTGGTGACTACATGGACAAATTCTTATAGTTTTCTTGGCAAGATTTCAGAAGTGGCTTGCCCTTCCTTCTTCCTAGAACTGAGGGAGACTGGCTGGCACAAGGTCTCCCAGCTGGCGTCCGTGCCTAAGACAGGATTAGAACTCACGGTCTCCTGGCTTCTAGTCCACTGCTTTTAACCATGACGCCAAACTGGCTCTCTACTTTAATGTAGAAGATAGTTGATTCAAAAGACCCTGAAAATGTGTACTTTCCCCACCATTATGTTAAGGGGAGAGGAACAGATTTGCAAAGAATAAGAATTAGAGAAAGAGAAAGATGGGGGAAGAGAATGGACCACAAAGAGGGTGGCACCTCCATTTCAGCAGAAACCTTTTCCTGGCAATGTGGAACAATCACCCAAATGAAGCAAACAGGCCTTGCCAACCACCCTCCCTCCGTGATACACTGCATCACGCCCCCAAACAGTCATAACCAGGAGAAAATACTAGCAAATCATTAATACAGCAAAGGGAACTAGCCAGAACAGAAGATACACAATCTGCCTACGGTTCCTTCCGTGGGCCACACAAATGGGGGAAGAAACCATACATCGTGTGCAGAAGAGACAGTGCTGCAGAGCTTGGATGTCCCCCATTTGAACAGGCCAGAAACAAACCAGGAAAAGAGCAAGGATCGCCCATAGTCATCCTTTGCTCTGCAGTTATCTCTTTATCTCCCTCCACGGTGTGGCGAGTCTCTGCCAGCTTCCTTCCAGAGAGCCTCTTATCTTAAAAAGGCCCTTATCTTAAAAAGCCAAGGTCTCCCACCCCTTGAAGTACAACTTGAATGACAGTTTTCCAACTGCAGCTACTGCTGTCAGTGAAGGCTCCAAGAGGTGGCCTTCTTTGAGGAGGTGGTGGTGGTCCTCCTGGGAGGAGCTGGTGAAGCATCCAGTAAAATATTCGGCCAACAGCCATGAGAATCTAGGGCAGTGTTTCTCAGCCTTGGCAACTTGAAGATGGGTGGACTTCAGCTCCCAGAATTCCCCAGCCAGCACTGGCTGGGGAATTC